TTTTTTTTTTTTTTTTTTTTTGGAAAAAAAAATTAGATTTGATCTGCAGTGTGAAGAAACTGGACTATAATTAAGTTCGTTCTTATTAGCAATTAAAAATTTATTTGTTTCAAAACCAGGCTTGAATTAATGCTATTAAATAATGAAATCAGAATTTTTTGCCGTTCTTTTAAAAGCTGAAATTCAAATAAATAGTTAATACAAAAATATATTTAATGTCTTTTTCTTAACTTTGTATTCTTACTTATTTAATTGCTAAACTTGGAATTCTATAACATCGAAGAAAACGATTATTTTACAATGTTATTTGCAAATACCCTTAACAAATTTTTCATCAGTAGTCCTTATTAAGTGCTTATTTTACTCTTGAAATGAAATGGTTTCTAATATCTTAATAATCCTATTTCTTTTTTATTGTGGATTCTAAAAAAGTCACAAAGTTACAAAAATATTTTTGAAACGTAAAATAGAAATGACTGGAAAATTTACTTGTTTTTAAGCGTTTAATAAAAATTTAGCCTGTTATTTGAAAAAAGTGTATAATGTTGTTAAATATAACAACTTACTTAGACAGAATAATGAAAGCTTTTGTGCTTTAGAAAGTTATACAGTTTTTATAATATTTAATATTTTGTTAAAACCCTTGTAAAGTTGAAAATGCTTAGAAGATGCTTAATTTTTGCTTAAATAGTTGAATGAGAATTTTGATGCGTTTGTTATTAAAAGTTAAAAGGCATACGGAGAAAAGAAATCTGGTGAAATCATCGACCTGTATAGTAAAGACATTTCGTCTAAAATAAAACCATAATTCTGCTAATAAAACCAAAATATACGGCATTTAACCTATATATTTGGTTATTTTTCCGTTCGTATAATATAAATGGTTTGCTGAAAATTCTGATTTTTAAAAATTATTGTTCATATTATCATACATTTTGTTAAAAAAAATATATGAAACCGCAAAATAAATTTAACCGAATAAATGGTTTTTAGGTCATGCTCTAAGAAGGTAACATGATAAAATTACCAAAATATTTTTACATTTGCAAAATTTTATCACATATTATAAAGCCATATTTTATTGTTAATTTTAACAAAATCATTAGTAAAGCACTTCGGTAAAAATTACCGTGTTTTTTTTTTTTTTTTTTTGGTGCACCCATAGAGCCATATTCTGCTAATTTTTACCAACCTTTTTCTCTCAATACACAGTGCAAAGACATAAATAATATTATTTCAATGTTGCTGGAAAAAAATATTGTAGTTTGATTAAAATCTTCTGATAGAATATTTTTGCTATTTTGCTAAGTCGAAATTTTTTTGCTATTATCTAAATCACTTTAAGCTTAAATTTTCTTCGTAATGATTATTGTATTTGCACCACTAGAAAAACAAAAACGGAATACCTTGTTATTTCCTATCTAAAAAATCAATTCAATCTGATTTTTAATTTTAAAATATTATCCGTATTAATAAATACATCTTCTCGATTCATAAAAAGTCATCTTAGTTCATGAAAACCCAATCATTAGATCAAAAGTTATTTTTAGAGTATTTTTTATTTTGTTTCTGTTATTTATTAATCACGGTACATTCGTTTTTGAAAAAAAAGTGTATTAAGTTATAATCATATTCGTAAAGATAAGGGCATTTGTAAACAGCCTCAAATCCTTTAAACTAGTTAGTCTATTTTGGGAAATTGGGCACGCTAACCATAAATAAACTTGCTCAAAGTATAAAGTTCTAGCAATTTCTTTTACTTTTATTTGAATATTTCTAAAAATCATCACAATTATCATTTTCTCACACGAAGTTAATTTTTCCCTCAAACTGGAGCATGTTTTTAAGTAGTAGTTCATTAGGTTGAAAGTAATTTTTAGAATTCTGAGAAGTATGTATTTATCGTCGAAACTAGTAGTTAGTAATCTATGCTTAGAAGATTATATTTGCCTTATGTAGCAACAAAATTACAAGCATTTCTTTAGTTAATAATAATCTAAGTAAATAACACTGAATTATCTCTAACTGTAAAGAGGCTTCAAAAACTAATTCAGCGTTTTTTCTAAGAATATTATAGTATAATAAGTAGTAATTTCAAAGAAGAATCCTGTGTTTTTTTCTACAAAATGGCTAGAAGTTTTTTAATAATTCTGAAAAAGTTAAAATTGTTCTATATTAATCGATGCAGCATTCAGTTTTTAAGTTACCCTACACTGTAAAAAAAAATCTGTTAAGTTTACTGGGGAAAAAAAACTGTCAGGATACGTGCCAGTGGAAAAACAGTTTATTTCTCCTAAAAATATTGGTATTTGAAAACGGACACCTATAATTTAATCACATAAATACTGTTTTGACTATTAATTTTAGTTAAAAAAAATATTGATATTTCATCAGATATGAACTGTTATTTTTATTGTTTGCTTTTTAACAAACTTCGTTATCTTAAGAAACAAACTCTGTTATTCTAACAAAAATTTAACATGTTAATTTTTTGTGTTATCTAATTTAAATGTTATCTAACAAAAATTCTGCTATTTTAACAAATATTTTTGTCATTTTCATAAAAACTGCTGTTTTAACAAAACAACGCGATAAATAAATATGTCAGTACTCTGTTCGGTGATATTTGGACAGAATTCGTGTAATCATTCAACGCTGGGATTCGAACCTGTATCACTTATTTGGGAGATGGTGCTTTATCACCTTAGCTGCCGATGCTCTAGTTTTCATTATGAAGAAAAATCATTAGCTGTCTTTATCTTAAGTTTCATAGAAATCATATTTAAGTGTAAAAACATTTAAACTTATATTGACCCTCCCTTATAAAATTGTCTCATAACTTAACTTACTAAAATGTTATTTCTAAAGCTACAAAATAATCCAGTACAGTATCATTTTGACAGTAATGTTGATTCGCTGTTTTATTTGAATACGATGTTCAAAACCATAAAATAATTGTTGAAAAGTAAAAAGTAAGCTCAGAAAATAATCGTAAAATGATTTGAAAATAACTTAAGATATTGTGCGGTAAGCAAAACTGAGTGGCAAAAAGTAGAAATGGAACTGACGGTTTTAATCCGTTTATGATTAGGGTACAAAAACAGAGAAAAACCGTTTTGTAAACAAAACAACTTTAAACGGTCTAATATACAGAAAAAACCTCAAAAACATATAAAAATTACTCTTTTTACGCTGTGAGGGTAACGGTTACAAACTAAGACAAACCAAAGCGGTTAAAAACTTTTTCTTCAAACAGTTTCTTTCCTCTCTTTTTTTTTTTTTNTTTTTTTTTTTTTTTTTTTTTTTTTTTTTTTGGTAAAATCTAAGTTTTTTTTTCCGTAGAATTGACAGTTTTTTTTTCTTTCTTTTTTGCAATGTATAAATAACTGAGTTTCACATGAGAATCTACTTAAATTAAGTTCAGAGCATTACAAAAAGAGAAAGGTAAGAACAATTGTATTTTTCTTTTCTTTAAAATGACTTTAATTTACGACTTTAATTAACATATTTTAATTTGCGAAAACTAGCTTTAACTTTTTAGTAAAACCCTACTTGTCGTAACTTCCAAAGAATCACTTACAACCGGCGCGTGTTAAGCGTCATTTTGAAACATTTCATAAAGTTATAATATGCCCAAAGAGGATTAATTGAACAATCAACCCAATTCTGAGCTTACGACTACCAATGTTTAACTTCGTAGCCTTTATAATTTTAAACCCAATCCAAAAACAAGGGAACTCCAGGATCAAGTATTGGGAGAAATTTGCTTTCGAACATTTTGATGGAGTTAACCAGCATTTTCGCATTACATAGAGATAAAAACCAAACCTCCCACGGTATTACATCCCGCATTACACAGAGATAACCCATGATCAGTCTAGCACTGC